CGGGGCTTGGGGGCTGTCTGAAGAGGAGTATGGTGTCGCGACAGTAGTATAAAAGCGTCTTAGAGCAAACGGATGGTCTCCCAGCGTAGGCATAGTTTCTGTAATTTAAATACTTCCTGTAAGAAGTTCCTTCTTGTATTGCACTGATTCTGCTCAGAAAACAACAGTGCCAGTGACATCTGTGATAGTGAGTGATGGCCGCTAATCCCGACCTGATATAAAAGGCTGTGCTTTGATACAGGGATCTGGTCAGAACGCTCAGAGCTCTTACACACGGGTTCCTGAACAGTGCTTTGTGTGGGTAACAGTTCCATGTCGCTTCATTGGGGAAACTTTTTTTTTTTTTTTTTAAATAAAGCCTTTCGCTCTCTCTGTTATAGCAAAGGTAAAAGTAGTTAGCCTGCAACTAAGCTTTGTCCCGACCTTAAATCTGTAAACTGACTGATAAGGTGAAAATCCATTTGAGAGATCTTTTGGGAGGATCTACCTAATATAGCGTGGGATGAAGTTGTTCTAGTTAAAGTCCTTGAGTGTCATTCTCCATTTGTAACTTCAATCTCATGCCTACTTGCATTATTTTAACTTATCTTAATTTTGAGTAGTACTGATACAGACTGTTGGCACACAGAAGGAACAACGCAGTGGGGTCAACTGAAAAAGAGCATGTAATAAAATCTTACGTAGCGTTTTGCATGCTGTTCAGACTGTGGTTGGTCTTCAATGGAGCTAGCTTTTTATCAGTCTTCATTGCTGCGCAGCAACTGAGAACTATTGATCTGAAAGTTGGATCCAGAAGACTAGCTTGTGCCAAATGACTGAGCTGAAGAGTCTGAAGTGAGCACGTACAGCAAGACTAGAATTTCTCTTAAATTAGAAGGCTGCTTCTGCTTTTATTCTAAATAGGTTAGAGCTTGATCATAATCTGAACTGAATTCCGCATATGGCAAGCTTGAGTCTTAGTTGTGCCATTAGTATGTTGTTACTTGCAGCTGAAGGGGTGTCTTTTAGAAAAACTTTTGCAGGTGTAAGACTTAATTTGAAGGAGCTGCCCCAGGTCTTGTGTTGTTTTACAATTCTGTACAGTTTGGTTTTTACCTTGAAAATACTGCTAAGGAAATAGACTTTGGAGCTGAGCCTCATTATATGGGAAAGCAAGTTGCTGGCTCTGGGTATCTTGGTACCCAGAGTGAGGCAGACTTGGGAGAGTGGCGGAAGTGCAGGAAAGACAGGGTATTCAAGGATGTAACAAGGCTGAAGGAGTCTTGGCAGCAGAAGCTAAGTGAAGACAAAAGCATATGTTCTTCCGTTATGTTTCGCAGCGGTATTATCTTGGCATTTCTTAATGACCTCTTGAGTATCCAGCAGTAAAAAGAAGGCTGTCCCGCATATTTCAGACTGGTGTGGGTTTTGGTGAGGCTAAGAGAGCCAGGCTACCCTGGACTGATTGAGGGGGGAATTCTCTCTAAATGACAGAATTGAAGCAAAGTCAACAGCTTTATGAAGGGATTTTCTTGTAGCTCTATCTCAGATGTGATGCCTCTGCGTAATCTTCACCTCATTAACTGGGGTGGAACTGCTGGTGCTTTGGCAGCACGCTGCCAAAAGGTCACAAGTTTTATTTTAACAACAACTTGTATTAAGGGAGAATGTGCTCCAAGAAATCCATGCACCATTCAGTATGAGAGGTAAAATGGCAAAGACCACTGAAGGAGCAAGCAGATAAAGCCTGCTTGGAGGCTGGTCTGTTGTTTCACACTACAGAAGAGTACAAAGCAGCTGTCTCCACTCAGCTCTTTCTTAACAGCATACTTGAGACCAGCTGACCAGATGGAAGGTGGTGAGGGAAGATTCCTCTGTCCAGCTCAATCTGTATTTCAGTGTGCACCAGCAGATGGTTTCTGTGCTGGAGTTCCAGAATATATTATTAATGCATTTTTCTTAAAATGGGATACAGGACTAAAATCCAGATTAACTTTTTTCCTTAGAATATGGAAGAGAGCAAAATTCTGTGCCTCTCAGTATGTCATCTTAAACATTAATTGAGCTGTACTGTGGAAGCACCCATAAGAAAGTGGTTCACTTAAATAAGTTGCATAGTGCTTAAAAAAATCTGCCACGTCTGGAGAAGAGGCTTTGCAATGTGAGGTAATCACCAAATTAAGGTTCAAGAATATGAAGGTTCACATAGCTGCCATTCATACCTTTTTCTTGACCCTGAGGATACACTTTGATGTCAAATCTAACCTGCTACAACTGCTTGCTGCCACAGAAAGGTGTTTCTGATTTTTTTTTTCCTTCTCTTGTCCTCCCTGCCCTAACAGCTCCATCACTAGTGTTTTCTACAAGCTGAGTCGAATCAGTGATGAATTTATCTAATTAAACTGTTCTTCCCTTTCTTCAGTGGGGTTAACTTTCTGTTGGATCAGGTGTTCCAGTAGCACACAAGGAGTGTGGTCGATTAATTGATCCAATGGGAAAAGCTGAGACTACTCCATAGATGGCCACTAAATTACACATTAGGAATAATGTAAAACAGAACACTGGTTTCTCCCAAGTCAGGTGTTGGGGACAACATCACGGGGAGAGTTAAGATAGTGCCAACACCTAAATGTGGTGATGAACTAAGTCACTCTTCCTGTAGTCAGGGTGGCTAATCTGAGATGTAACTAAAGTAACTGCAACTGTTAGCTCGTGTACTATGCTGTGGATTTTAGTGAAGTGCTTTATAGAAAAAAGGAATCACATTCTGAGCAGAGCTGTCATCTAACACTTGCTGAAATGGTGCTTTAAAGAGTGTTACAATGTTAGGTACAGGTGGAAGTCCAGTAGTGGAGACCAGGATGCAAATTTTGAGGTTGTAAGTGCCTAGATTAAAAAGAACTTGCAACCAAGTCAAAAGATGCAATATAGCCTCAAGATCAGGAAGAGCAGACAATGGGAATACTGCAGACTGCAGTAGGATGAACAGTGATTAGTGAATTAAATTACTAAAATAAGATGGGGCTGCCAGGCAGGTGTTGTGATATAATTTCCTGTGACAAGGGAGTCTCCAGGAGAGTTTTCCCTACTTCTTCGTTGTCGCTCATCTTGATGACCTGAAAGATGTTGCTGTCCCACAAGTGGCAGAAGAGCAGAATGTGTATGCTTAAATCTCCCAATAAACCATGCAAGACATCTTCACCGGTAGTCTTAATGATCACTGATCTGTGAACTGGGGTAACTGGGGGCCACACAACTGCTTCATCTTCTGTAGCTGGATTTAACAAGTGTGGTAGTGTCCAAAAGGAGAAAGAAGTCTGCTTCATGGTTCAAAACTGAATTCAAAGTGATTTCTGACACCTTTATAAAGCTGCATTTTTCCTCAAGGATTACTCTTCACACTCTATCTTAAGAGCAACTAGATATACATTTTCTGATCCCAGTTACCTTTCTGGCCAGTAGCTGCTTTCTTACCAACCTTGTAGTGCATGTAGTGACTGTATCTGATGTACTGGGATTATATGCTTGATGCCAGTTAAGGGAAGAAGTTACTCTCAAGTTAAAACATCTTATCTCCTATCGAAGGAGATAAGTATCACATTAGCCACCCTTGATTCAGTATTCGGGCAGGACTGCAGTGAAGACAAGTTGGTAAAGGAGAGAACTAGACATCTTTAGGATGTACTCGTAAATGCAGATATTCTCATTCCTTCCTCCGGTAAGTTCCTTGAACTTTCAATATTTAATTAGGAGGCAGAAACTTAAGGAAAGTTTCTAATTATACTTATTGAAGAATATTAAACAATTTTTGTTATATTTTGTGTAGAGATGAGAGGTTGGATTTGACTTAACAAATGTTGTTGGCTCTCAGGTTTGTTGCTGTTAGGTACCAACTGAGGATCTAGGCCTTGTAAAGTGCCAGCTTTTTTTTTTTTTTTACTGACACTGAATGTAGAATGCCAAATGCTGCCTTAACAACTGAAGTATTTTACTTGTTTGGTTTTTTTTCCCACTTGTTTCATAGTATCCACTTGGAGTTCTGCTATCCTGTTTAAAGGAGGCTCACAGCCATAAATGCATGGCTAAAGAACTTGTCTGTTATCTTGTTTAGATGAGGCTGCAGTGAAATGCAACACTATACAAACGAAAGTCTGTAGAAAGTACTATTCAATACTTAGTGCCTTTGCTCTAAATTATTTTCAGCATAGCTGGTGAAAATGGCTGAAAACGGAGATGGTGAAAACATGTCTATTTTGGAAAGTAAAATCTGTCAGCAAATTGAGGTAAGTTAAATTTATAGTTTGGGATCTTGACTGAGGTGCAATTTTGGAGACATTTGTTGGTAGGGATTTGGCTAATAGGAAGCTAACTTCATAGGGAGCTAGGATTGAATCTTCGGCTCTTTAAAAAAATGTCTGTCACAGGTCTATGATAGGTATTTAACACTTTAAGATAATTAATAATTGTAGTCTAAGTTGTAAGCTATGGTTGTTTAGAGTTGCCTGTAAGACCACCATTTAAAAACACAAAAGGTTTAACTTGCTAGTGTTTTAGGTGCTATAGCAAGTAAATGTATCATTAAACAATTTCTTACTATGTTTGCTGGGGTTGTTCTATGTATGCAAATAGGAAGATGCATTTAAATTCTAAATTACTTAATTTTTTGGGAGGAAAAAATCCTCCTCGGGAATCTGTGCTGTCCAGTATATTAGCACAGTGCATAACTTGCTATTACGATTTACTACTTTGTAATTTATTGCTACAAATTGCAACTAAACTTGTATACCTACTTTAGATTAACTGTTTCTCACTCTAGAGGCTTTGAGGGTTACCCTACAATGGAAAACTGAGCACAGCACTTAAAATGACATCTAGAAAAAAATATTTTCCTGAAGGACAAAAATACAGCTGCATGTGAATCTCCATTAGCATATGGAGCTGTACTTATTATTTATGAGAAAAAACAAGAGATTGAGGAAAAAACAGTTAACAAAGCTAGACTTGTGGTAATGTACTTTTGAGGTATACTAGAAGAAGAGGTATTGTAAAATTTGCAGGCTTTTTAAAGCACAATGATATTGGTGGAAATGCTTCAATTTATCCTATGGCTTCAGGTATTTGAGCCTAGTTAGATGACTGCTAGCAAGCAAAAGAACCTGATTAACTTGTCTATCTTGTATTGAATTGAACAATTTGTCGATTATGTGACATTCTGCTCTTCCCATGCTGGACATGATCAAAATGACAACATAGTAAATTAAAATATAAACAAATTTTTTATCTTACAGTATTTTCTTGAGTGAGACCTAGAAACTCTAGTCTATGTGTATGATTTCTCAGTGTGGCAAATACAATATTCTTGCTTATACATTCCTTATATATGGACTAAAATCTGAATCTCATGGTGACAAATCTAACTTTTGACTTTGCAGAGCTCGATCAGGTTGATAATTATGTTAACAGAATAAGCTTTGTGTCTTTCCTAAACAAAACTGCAGTCTACCTTTGCCTCGCTAGTCCCATGGGATGAAGCAGTGCTTTTTTTACAGTTTATGTGTTGCAGCTAAATTTTGGGAAAGTATCACATTAAAGCAGGAAGTAATAATTTTGGAATTTCTAATTTCAGATTAATGAATTTTGGTATGTTGTGATCCACTGCAGTAAGTTGTCAGATGAAATGAGTTTTTTTTAAGACTGAACGTTCAATGACAGATCTTTCCCTCCCCCCCCCCCCTTATTTTTTGCAGTACTATTTTGGCAATCACAATCTACCAAGAGACAAGTTCCTAAAGGAACAGATCAAACTAGATGATGGCTGGGTGCCTTTAGAAGTAATGATCAAATTCAACAGGTAAGACAAAGTACAGCTAATGTGGATGGAAGGGTAACTTTCAGCTAGTTTATCTCTATTTGGGGCCAGATATCCCCAGTCTGCATGTACAACTCCTATTCCTGCTTTAACATTTGGCTTCAGCTTTGCCTGTATATTTGTAATAACCTGTTTGCTTACTCAATAGGTTAAGTCGCCTTTCAAAAGATTTTAGTGTTATTGTAGAAGCACTAAGAAAATCCAAGACTGGTCTAATGGAAATAAATGAAGACAAAACTAAAATCAGAAGATCTCCAAACAAACCTCTTCCTGAATTAAATGACCAGTATAAAGCTGCAATCAAAAACAGATCTGTGTATGTTGTAAGTAAACTTCTTCCTTTGCTCAGTGCTATTCTCTATGGCTTTGAAAACCATTTAATTAAAGCTTGAATTAACTCATACTAGATAGGTTATCATTTCTAAGTGTCTGTTCCATATATTTGAAGCTTGTTTTTGTGTTGCAGAAAGGCTTTCCACTAGATGCAACTCTTGATGATATCAAAGAATGGCTGGAGGATAAAGGTCCAGTTGAAAACATTCAAATGAGGAGAACACTGCAGAGAACATTTAAGGTAGCTCTTGTGATTAATGGTTGGACCTGGGGCAGGGATTCCCCCTGATCAACATTCTGTTCAATTAATCTAACACTGAATGTCTCTTACCATTTAACAGGGCTCAATATTTGCAGTTTTTGATAGTGTTGAGTCTGCTAAGAAGTTCACAGAGATCCCAAACCAAAAGTACAAAGACACAGAGCTGATAGTACTTTTCAAGTAAGTCCATGTAACTGATGTATGAACTAATAATGGTCAAGAGTGGATTTAGACAAGAATGTGACTTGACCCTTAGAAGTGTAAGTTTCTACACTGTTGTACAGGTATCTGTACCTTTTGGAGACTAGAATCTCAACTCCAAAAGATAATCTCAACTGTTTCTTGGCTACTGCTGTCTTAGAAAGTAATTATAATGGCATACTTTACGTGGTATTAACTTAGCTTACATTCTGTTGAAGGGAAGAGTATTGTACAAAGAAGAATGAAGAAAGGAGACAAAACAAAGTAGAAGCTAAAGCAAGAGCTAAACTGTAAGTCATTATCAACTGAAATGCCTGGTTTTGCATACCTGACTGCACTTGAACCAATTCTTTAACTAATTTCACTTTTCTACAGGGAAAAAGAAGAAAAACAGAAACAAGCAGCAGATGCTGAAATGGTATGGGTTTCTTAAATCTCTATACCTGAAAACTATGTAATGCTTGCTTTTGTATGGATTTTCAGTCCACACATAACAAATGTGCCCCTGCAGGTACATTTTGTAGACCTAATGTGGGACATTCAGAGTTTGAAATTCTGTAATATAGAGTACTTTCTAGAAAGACACTTAAGCTTTGCCAGATAACCCACAGTAAGACTTTTTGTCATGGTATTTATTCTTATTTTCAAGAGAGTAATTTTGTTTAAAGGATCGTACCCTGAATTTAGATTGCTAGGCATGTTTACCTCTTGAAAAGTGATCCTAAATGCACCATTGAGATCATTGTTCTTCTGTGGTATTTAAAGGATAGTAAAGGATTTAATCAGTATTATATAGATTTTCAACCTGAGCTGTCATCCTTCAGAAAACTGTTTTGTAGAATTTAAAGACTGTAACTCTCTTATGGGAAAGGAGTCCCAAGTTCCACGTAAATGTATCATAGTAAGCAAAGAAAATTTAAAAAAGAAAAAAAAGAGGAGGAGAGAAACATTATGCAAGACTTTGACATCAGCATAAATAAGGTCTTT